TTCCAACGAGGCTTGTGGAGAGTACTTAACGGTAGGCAGCGGCTTGGCTCTGCCACTGGCATTGCTGAAGTCCATGGGTGACGGTAACCACCGTGGCCCACATCGGGTGGGCCGTATGCTCGTCTGCTTACACGGGCAATAAAAAAAAACATAATTAAATCTTCTTCTACGGTTTAATCTCGAGTTTTTTTTATTGTCATTATATATTTATGGACGTTTCGACTAGGTACTTTACGATTTTCATGATCACGAGTCGTTCGTGGTAAGCTTCCCAATTCCATTTATGATGTAACAATCCAAAGCCATAACAATGAATTCACTATTACTTATTTATCGTACAGCTAAGTACAGGTACGGTTTTTTACTGGTGGTAGGACCTCTTGTGAGTCCGCACAGGTAGGTACCACCGCCCCGCCTATTTCTACCGTGAAGCAGTAACGCGTTTCGGTTTGAAAGGTGTGGTAGCCGTTGTAACTATACTGAGATCTTATATCTCAAGGTGGGTGGTGCATTTACGTTGTAGATGTCTATGGGCTCCAGTGACCACTTAACACAAGGTGGGCTGTGAGCTCGTCCACCCATCTAAGCAATAAAAAAAAAAGTTACTGAGAGAACGAATTGTAAAAATGTAGAAAGCGTGAATAGTATTTTCATAATAAAAATCTAAAAAAAATAGGTCAATTTCCGAATTGCGTTGTATTCAAATTTTTTCGCATACAAAATTCGTTCCGTTATCAGAACGGTCATCGTTATCGAAACTCGAAACTACCGAGTCTTTAACTTTGACACGGAACTATTTAAATGCAGATTGATAAATTGCGTTCATTCTGATCACACGTGATTTATTTACGTATCCACAAGAGTATGTACTGATTTCGTTTGGCCTGAAGATTTTTCAAAACCAAATTTAGTGACTAATCTTTATTGTGTTTAAAAATAAAATATTTAGTTTATTCGTTCCTGTATAAACAATCTATTTAAATTTTTGAATAACATAACATTAATAATTAATTAACATAACATTTGAATTTTTTTTGTGTCCCCCTTTTAAAAGGAACTCGATTAGAAGGAAATAAGAATATCTAACAGGAATCTTGTTTTAAGTTGGAGCTAGGTTTTCGATTTATATTTTCATATTTATCGCGACTTTATTAATAATACATAGACCTAAAAATAATTACGGAAAAGATAGAGCACCGGTTAAACTGGGACAATTACAGACTTCTGAATTCCGTTAATTAGTTCTTTTAAATTATTGAGACGATAATATGTATCACAACAAATCAAGCTATGTTTATTTTGATTTCCGATCGTGTCCTTAATGTCCGTTAATTACTATGACAGGCGGTTAATTAATAATTTTTAGCATCAAATAAGTGCCAATTACCTACGTCGAAAGCTAAAGTTTTTTCGGTCGGTCGCATCAATGTATTTTAAACTATGCACTCCAAAGTTAGTTACGATCTGCATTCCACAAGTGTGTCCGTTTTTTGCAGACGAAGTCCAAACACACGCATCCAAGATATGCCCAGTATAATAAAAAACGGAATGGCTAATTTACATTGAAATTCGTTTTGTTTTGACGATTTTTATGACGTTATATTTAAAGAGCATTCCCGTCTTGTACTTTTATGTACTTAGCATACAGCATACACCATGACGTGAATAACGCTGGACACCTTGTGAGGTCGGAGTCCGTCTCAATTGTGATATAGACAGATTGGAACACTAACAACTTGGCGGTAGAAACAGGTAAGATAGTGAGTGACCCGCACAAACTTACAATACATGACCTCGCCACTAAAAGCGGCCAATTTTGTTACTCTATATCGTTCCTCAATGGTGAAAGTCTAATGTGACAATTATTGTTAGATTTTCCATTATTTAATTATAATTGACACTTGCCCCGCAACCTTCAGAAGTTCGCGTTCAAAAAGTAAGAACTAGCGATTACTCTCGTGAATATAATTTTCGTCCAAACACAAATAAATCCGTATTTGGATATACGATTAGAATACAGCAGTTTAATCATGATAATGGAGAGCAAAGTGCTAGTAAAGTGAAAAAATAGTTTGCAGATCTACTCAAAATTCTTTGACATTTTTGAACGCAAAATGTTCATGGTAAAGGGACAAACTATTTAATTAACATATTTGTCCTGTAAATTATTTAAACGACTAATTTGATAAAATGTTACCTGATATCCTCACAATATATCCTCACTTAAGATTTGCAAAGCGAACCGATTATTTTTTGTGTCCAAATAACTGTTCTTGCTTTCAAGAATTTCTGGTTTCAAATCAGGTAGACTGCTTCAGTTGACATATTGAGAATTAGAGGAGCAAATTCTTATTGAAATAAAAACATTTTATACAATGAAACGTTGTTTTTTGCAATTTTATATCGCTTTATCGGTTTCTTTATTTTAAATAGAGACTATGTTTTTATAATTACTAGAGGTCCCGCAGTAGTCGAAATTCGACTATAATTAATTGAAATTGTAAGTTTGTACACTATTATGATTGTATTTTATACTTCTATAATCACATATTTCGCCAAGACTATACTATAAAAAATATTAACAAAGACAAATAATATTTAATCTATTCTCAATTTGACCACAGACTCAAGAACAAAAGTTTGACAATAAATAGTATGCATGCGTGTGTGCGTCAAATACATGGTATGTAGTGTGAGTAATGTTTTCTTTATTGATTTAATGTACCTTTTATGCATTATTTAAAAAAAAAATTAGCATTGTGCACTTCTTCTCTATATTCTCTATAAGTGTGGAAAATTTCATACTCCTCCGTCTGCGCAATTTTCGTAAAAAGGGATACAAAGTTTTAATTTCACGTATTAATATATAGATGTTATCGGCATAAAATATAATGCATTATAGTATTTTAGTTTGTTTTCGCGAGTTGTTGCAATAATTACTACATTTACGGTTTGATCTAGCGTTAACACAATACTGACACGTGGACGAATAAAACCACAGTCATTCGTAAATCACGAGAGCTATAAAGAATTCGAAACGTCAGAAATAGTTATACTGGTGAATTACTGAATTACTGGTGGTAGGATCTCTTGTGAGTCCGCGCGGGTAGGTACCACCACCCTGCCTATTTCTGCCGTGAAGCAGTAATGCGTTTCGGTTTGAAGGGTGGGGTAGCCGTTGTAACTATACTTGAAGCCTTAGAACATATATCTCAAGGCGGGTGGCGCAGTTACGTTGTAGATGTCTATGAGCTCCAGTAACCACTTAACACCAAGTTGGCTGTGAGCTCGTCCACCCTTCAAAGCAATAAAATAATAATAATAATATGATGACAATAAAAAAGAAAGATTAAACCATAAACGTAGTTTTAATTACATTATGCACCCTTATAATGATCACACGAAGGTTTCGGTTTTAGCTGTTGCGATGTTAATGCGCTCCTGACAAAATATTCTTCAGCGAAAACTTTAAATATATTACGGGTTGGATACACGACATTTAAGTTAGGCAAAAATCTATTTTTAGACGGCGCGGCCCCCGACTTGAAAATACAAATTAAGCGACAAAATGTAATATGCATCGATTTCCAATGTTTAAATTCATATTTTTCACTTTTGTATACTTACTTATTTAGATAAACACTAGATATTGACCGTTTTTTTTTTTTGATAACGCCACCTTTTTGTTTCTTTAAAGCGGTTAGTTGCCCTCAATTAAGAAAAATAGTATTATTACTCGCCAATAGATGTCGGGAAGAGTTGATTATTGAAAACACGAATAAAACAACATTTTCTGAAAATAAATCGTAGCTAGATCGATTTATCGCCCCCGAAATCCCCTGTATACTAAATTTTATGTAAATCGTTGGAGCCGTTTCCGAGATTCAGATTATATATATATATATATACATATTAATATACAAGAATTGCTCGTTTAAAGGTATAAGATAACTGTAACCAAATATTAAATTTAAATTTAAAGAAATAAGTGGATTTCCAATTCAAGGAATATGTTTCTGCGTATTTTTGTTTTATTTTAATACATTAATTTGTTTCTGGATTAGATAAAAAAAAATGGTATATCTATCAATGTATGTAATAGAGAAGCGAAAATGTTCGCTGTAATATTATTAGTTTCATGAATTATTCACTTCACGCTGTGTCCTCTGCTGATTATTCCGCTTTTTTTATCCAAATGTCAACAACATTGTAGGTGCTTGATCATAATATAATTTTATTCTTCGATTCACGAATTGTAGACACAATTTAGCTACGTTACGTTAGAGTTTTACTTTTAATCTCAACAATTTGTTGGACTAATTCAAAGGGACAACAATAATACAAAAATAATACTAAAGTAAACCTAAGAAATTATTTTAATTTAGCGTTACTTTGGTTTCATAGCTAATAATGGTTCTTGAGTATCAAGTATGTACCTATCTATCAATTGAGGTAATCGCACTCCAGCGCGCTACATACATGTCAACTCTGGATTTGAAAATCGACTTAAACATACTAAAGCGTAATAGTGCGTGTGTTCCTCGTTTCTATTTCCAGTATATTCTATATTTACTTTGTAATCAATTAGAGGAATAGATTCTAAATCCTTCGGATATTTTAGGATTAGAGAATTTTTTTTATTTATCTATCATATACAATTTTCAACCATTTCTGTATCGTTATAGAGCCTAGTTTAATAACAATACGATGTGTACCTACATCGTTGTATTACAGAACAAACTATTATCCTAAAATATTAATTTGCTCTTTGTTTAGGTATACACAGCATTTTTAATAATTGAAAACAGTTTTCAAAGATAGTTCAGCTAATCTTTAAAAAGTATTACGTAGGCAGTTCATAAATTTTAATATGCTTCGTGTTCAGTTAGGAAACTGTAAGGCATAAGAATACTACATTATTTTTCAAATTCGAGGACGCACACCGATTATTGTAAGAGTCAAATTATATTTCACAGAATAATAAGAAATAAAGTACTTACGGGGTTGCGGGGGTGGTATCAGTGGTGGCATGGTTGGCGGCGGAGGCACTGACGGCGGTGGAGCGTATGGTGACACCCCAGGTGAACCCGGTACGGAGTCACAGCTCGCCGAGCCCAGAGAGCGTGGTGCCGACGGCGGTATCATGGGGCTGCGTGGCGCCTTCACCACTGGTGGTACAGGCCTATCCAACTCCATCCCCGGGGGCTGTATTCCTAATTCCAGCGCACGCGCACGCGCTTCGTCCTGAGCCTGGGCCCGTCTGATTGCCGTTTGCTTTGCCATTACCCGCTGCCTGTCTGCGGTAAGGCGGCACTTTTCACAAGTGCAGTGCTGATATTTGCAGTACCGCTTGTGACCCTTGAGCTCGATCTTGAGCCTGTGATTGCGGCAGCGCGCACAGTTAGGAGGGGCACGAGGAACGCCCGAACTGGAGGCGCCGGGTTCGGAACGCTCCTCGCAGTCATCGGGCACGCGGCGTTTCCATGAGCCCATCGACACCATTGCTGGGTCCTCGTTGTCGGCCGTATACGCGGCAAAGTTGGCGCGTGTTGTTACACACGCGCAACACAACACGCGGTCACGATGCGACTGACTGCCCCCGCCGCTGTGCACTGCCCCGCCCCGCGGCCCACCTCGCCGCGCTACTGCATTTATTCCAGTGCAACGATGCAACTCTACAATTTATTATTCCAGATTACTTAATTTTGCAGCGGCGATTTTCTTCCGACGGCATGTTTTCCTAAATAAATTATGCCAGATTTCGAATTTAGTAACCATTTTTAAATAGTTTGCACACTTCATTAACTACAAAAGTTAAACCAACTGGTAAAAGAAAAAAATCATCACATAAAGTCAGAAATTCCAGATGTGGTGGGGTGGAAAATTATTACCTATGGTCATTTCCTAATTACTTTTCATCAAAATCACAAAATACTTAAAAATTATCAGCAGAGCACAAAATTACACACTCTACAATTATAGATTATAAAATTACTTATCTAGCTTGATGCATTTTATTAAGTGGAACAAAATAAAAAAATTTAAATTTCACTGTCATTATTGTATGTATTGTGACTAACCTACAAACTAATTAGATCTCTCATAACAATCGCTAGGGCATGCAATGTCATATTTTTGAGTTTAATTCATTATATAAAACAAAAAACAATGTTTCAAAAGTTTCCTTTAAGGAAACATATTGTGCCCATAAAAGGCTAACATAAAATATTACTTTACTTGACTAAATATTGTTTTATTCTAAAAGCAATTCAAGTATCCGTCTGCGAAAACGCTAATATAGCACATCAATTTTAAAAAAAAAATTAATTAAATTAATAAAAAAATTGTTATAGTACAACTAGTAAAAAAACATTAGAAAAGTCTGTACGATATTTCAGTACAGTAATAAATGTCCCGAACTGCGTGTGGCTGCATTCGGATCGCGTGCAACAACGTCCAAACAACACACAGACAAAGCTGTTCCATATACATACACTACAATATTTTAGCTGTGTTGTCTTTACGCGACGACACACACACAAATCTATACGTTCTACGGTCACGTAAGTACGCGTTGATTTATACAAGAGTGTGTCTAAATTACATTGTGTGCAGTCGCAATTTTTGCACGCAGGCTACTTATGTGTGCACGTTGTTATTACGTCACAAGTTTTGGTCGTTTTTAAACGCAACATTCGTATAACTAAATAGTCTTTTTTTATTGCATTCTGTTTAAATAGTGTTTAACTGTTCAAGCATATTTTTAGTCTTTTAGTCGTAATAATTATCTGAGTCTGAAACGGTGTGAAGCTAATCAGTGAATTTTATTGTGAAGGACAGATATCATGTCATAATAATGTATAATGCGATCTGTGTGAGATTAAAATTAAGCTTTAATATTCAAGGTGAATACAGTGTTGGTATAAATACGAATTATTTATACTAATAAGTAGCACAAGTTGAGCACAAAATTTACGTTATCGTCGGACCATTTTTATTGTTTTAGGTTGATGGCCGCATCGCTGTATGCTGTATGGTACCATCTCTCCGTAAATTTCGTAAAAGCTGACCAGCAATATATAACAAAAAAAAATTGGTGAAATAGCAATAAGAGATATATAGATACTTAATTCGTCCGGTAATGTTATGTAGAGCTTATAGCGCAGACGAAATATATTAAAAGTTAGATAAGTTATTTTTAGGCGGCACTAGTCTGATTAAATAAGAAACTTATGCATTTGATTTTTTATTATCATTGATTAGAGGGGTGAAAGCGCTCACACCCGCTCTTCCAACCGAAACGCATTATTGCTTCACGGCATAAATATTCTACATATTGGTTATTTGTGTCTGCTTAGGATATTTTTTTTGGTCAAGATGAAATAGCCGGACTTCCGCCCTCCACTAGGGTTGGAGGGCGGGGCATGTCGTGGTCGAACTGGCTAAAATCTCCTGTAGCTCAACAACCAACGTCCGAACCTCGCTTGAGATAGAAGTCATGAAAACGAAAAAGGGGGAAAGTGAAGTGCTTAGTGCGAAGCACATTTCTCCCATTAATCTCCCCCTCGAGACGCCAGACCGCTGGTCGTCGGCGCCACGACCACCAGCCCTCTCGGTCGGCAGGCTGTACGTGTCGCCGAAGGTTAGAGTGGGTGTCAACTTAGGATCGCTCAAAATTAAATATGCTGTAGTCGAAATACTAAATTTAAAGCGAGTCATTCAGTTTTTTTTCCTCCGCTTTTTTGCTTACCTATTTGGCAGTAGCCTCTGGGGGCAATTATGGCTTTACCGTGACTATTGTGCTAGTTCATGGGGTACAGCCTGAGCTATTATGCTAACGTTTGCTCTGGTAAGAACAGTGTTTCGCACGGTGAGCAATGAAAAATAGAAGTTCAAAAGTTTTTTACTTAGGACCTATAATACTATGGATAGAATGGTAACAATATTGTATATAAAATATGGAGGCACACAAAAGTGCCGCGCTACAGAGATTACGAATCATTGTTCTATCCTAATCACTGACATCTTAATATTCAGTTTCATATCTTTATGTATTAAAATCTCTTTTTTATCTCGTAAAGTGATGTGGAAGAACTGTTTTAATTTTTTTTAATTGAAAATGCTCGACAAGGCATTGTAAACAAATCCGGTTGACACTCATAGACACAGCCCACTGAGTTTCTTGCCAGATCTTTTCAGTGGGTCGTGATTCCGATCCGGTAGTAGATTCAACGAAGCACCGCCCTTGCTAGATAGAGCTCGTGTTAGCAATTTCGCCAAGCTAAGCCTCGTGAGCTCGCCTATATAATCGGTGAAGCTAGTATAAGCCCTCGAAACTAGTATAGAATAGGTAGACAAAAAAACAATCCATTATTGTTCTTGTGTGTTAAATACATCTGACTGACTACAATCTGTTCGAATCCCGCACACAGTCACTAATTTTTCTGGTGAAATATCTACTTATTTAATACATGTTCACGAATGACTTCCACGATGAAGGAACAACAACGTGTAATTACATTTAAATCAAACGCACAAAGATGATAATTTACATAATAAATTGTGGTAGGGCGTTCTGTGAGCCCCCACGCGTAAGGATCACTACTCCGCCTATTTCGTCCGAGAAGCAGTAACGCGTTTCGGTTTTAAGGGGGGGCAGCCGTTGTACTGTAAACCTAAGACTAAAAGTCATGTCTCAATGTGGCTGGCGGTCTAAGCAATGACATTAAAAATGCTAGTGTTACAAGTTCAGTGAGTGAATAACCTGAAAAATCGCAAATGTAACAATGCTAATGAGCACGTCATTACTAATGCTACATCTGGGATTTTTTTACTAAATTGTAAGCACATAGCATTATTATTACTATAGGAAACGAGAGAAGGTGCATATTCCATAAACACAGACGCCGCGACGTTCCGAGTGCTGTTTCTTAAAGCTTGTATAAACGCAAGATTGCTGATAGCTACCGTTACCAGGCTAGTCGTGCGCCAATACAGCAGAAACCATCCGTAAAGTGCCAACAAAGAGCATACATTTTAACTGATCTAGACTGATGGGTGAACAAGTAAACAAACAAAGAGTTTCTCTGTTTATTTATTTATTTAAGAAAACCACCGATTTCTTCTTATTTTAGATAATTTGGCTCCAACGCCTTTGGCATTGATTTTGCCAATGTCAAAGTATTTACAAAAATGACAGGTGCTTAGAGAGGGAAAACCACCGATTTAGGCCGTTTAGATAAGTAATCATTAACAGTGAAACGAGTCTTTGATGCGTAATAAATGATTCTGAGTTGAAATAAATGTTCTACAAAAAATCGTCACGTAATATTTTAATCTAAATTTTTTAACGAGTTACGTAACCTTTGTTGATTTCAATATCGAAAACTCGTGCTGCTTAGCCAAAACAAGTCGCGATCCCGTAGTATTATAATTGCGTATTGGTGTGTGTGTGTGTGTTTGTGTGCGTGCCTGCTCGTGTAGAGCAATGCAAGCGCGCGATGCATCGGTGAGTTTGCACCGAGTATACGTTACATTGTTGCGGCCACAGTCTAGTTTGTATAACAGAGCGTTCATTTCTGAGAATCTAATTATTCTCATTTTCTTTTTTTTTTTAACATTAATTATTTGCATCGCAAGATCACCGTGATTAATTCGATTGAGCGCATCCAAGTTGTTACTGCGAAATCGTTAATCATATTTCATATTATAAGATGATCTTTGCTAATTTAGTCGTTGGATTATCGTTGAAATTTAAGTAAATTAATTTTCAATTCCCACGAAAGGATAATATAAAGGATATATGCGGGGCTACTTTGAGATTTATTTCTACGTAGAGAATACCATCATAATAAAATACTACTTTATTTATAGTAACCACTGTAAGCCAACTAACCCATGAATATTATCTATGCAGTACTTCCGAAAATTTGTAAACTTTAATTTACTACATATCTACAGATCTACATAACGGAATCATCTATCTATATCTATACTAATATATAAATCTACAGTGGTTTTTACGGATGTTCCGTCATAACTACTGAACCATGCATTCGATTGACTTGGAACTTGGTATCCATGTAGAAAATACATGTACTTAATGGATAGGATAATATTTATATGAGTGTTGGACTCCCTACACCAGTTGCAGGGGCGTTAATGATGAGAATCTTTGTGGGGGTGAGAAATAACAATATTAATTTTAAATACCCAGCGAAGCGGACGGGTACAGCTAGTTGTACATAATTCTCGCCAAAGACGATGATTGAACTTTGAAAATCTGCACACGTATCAACAACCAATTACAATAATTTAGTTTACTCTGGCTATATAAGCCTGATGACCAGGACTATTGGGACAAAAACTATATGAAATTTTAATCTTGATTTCTGTGTGTTATTGAAAAGTGTTTTTTATACTATGTTTACTTATTCCTTTAAAATTAAAGATATGCAAAACAACATTAGCGTATTTATACGTACATACTCTGAAACCTGGTTACTCTGTGTTCCAGGTTCATTAGAGTTACAAAAAAAACAAAAAAAATGCCTACCTACCTACTTTCTAGCCTAGCGTTTATCTTGTAATTATTTAATGTAAGAATG